TGACAATTGACACATATGATTATTTTGTCAGCAGAAGTTTATAGTTTTGTTCCAACAAGCTCGAAACCGATATATCGGTACAAATATACAAGTATACAATTTTTGTGTATCAGCAATGTTTACCGAGTATAAAGTTGACAAATGACACCACGAGGAAGCAGAAGCCTCTTTTCTGTCTGATTTGTCGCAAATGTCTGCTTTTTTTTATCTATTATAATTTTGAGACGACAATCCGTTAAAATGTTCTTAATTAAACCTTTGTTTGAATAATAATATTTTTAAATAAAATTAACTAGTAAAAATAATAATAAAAACTCGTATAAAACTCAAATATCCGAATAAATATTCTAAGAACACAACTTGCCTCTTACACATTTCTTCAGTAACCAACATTTTGTTGATTGCAGAATTATATCTTATAAGGAAAAAGATTATTAAAAAAGAAGCACTAATACTAATTATAAAACGAGTGTAAACACTCTTTTTGAATATTTAGTCCAGTTTAATGCTTAATCATAATACTAATACAACCACTAATAATAATGGAGTATAAATAGACCATTACAGTCCCTCGCCTGATTGCAAAAAGTGACACATCGTGTTTTTTGTTTGCTATTTGTAGTTGAGTACAGGGAATGGGGGTGAATAACGTGTACTGTCCCAGTGGTAGGAGCTGCTGTGTAACATGTCAAATTTTATTTGCTACTTTCGGTGTAGAGATTTCGGCCAAGTCACCGGATATTTAGATGTTTCAACGAAATTCAGGATATAGGTTAAACGTGGTTTTTCTGAACTCAAGATGATATTGCAAGCATTTTTTTTGTGTCGGCGAAAGGATTAATATGCAAAAAAATAAGTGTAAAATCGTAACGAAAAATAGAAAAGTCGTTTAATTGCTTTCAAAATGTTTTGTTCGACTCTCAACTAAGAGTATTGCCCTTGCAAGTATTTTGTTATTCAGTAGTTTAATCATGCAGTATTCTATTCACCCCGGATTTTTCAGAAAAAAATGTTAAAATAGTCTAATATATGGCGAATAGCTAGAACTATTGAATAACAAATGCTTATAAGGGCAATACTATTAATTGAGCGTCTTACATACATTTTGATAGCAATTAAACCACTTTTTGACTTTTGGTTCCGAATTTACACCTATTTAAAAAAAAGATCTCTTTTTGAAAGGTTGCAATTTTTTTAGATATCAACATAAAAAAATACTTGCATCATCTTAGATTAAAAAAGACCCGTTTAAGCTATATCTCGAATTTTCTTGAAAAACATAAATATCCGGTCACGTGACAGAAATCCTTACACCGGAAGTAGCAAAACCGGATGACAAGAAAATCTTGCAAAGGGATTTTTTTTATTGCTATAGACATCTAGAAGCATATATTATATTGCCAGTAAAAAACTAAAAAATGCATCGATAAGCAATTTTACTTTAAATTTGATAGATCACACGACAGCTCCCACCACCGGGACATAGTACATGTTCATCCCCCTCCTCTGTACCCAACTACAAAGCAAGTAAAACACATCGTGCTATGCAGTCAGATGAAGGACTATTACTCTTGTCAATAGACCTTTTCATCACAATTTTTTTTTGTGCGCATGCGTCAGTTTCGTACTGTTTTTGTAAACAAGTATGTTAAAATGCTTACGTGAAAAACATTAAAATTGATAAATATTAATTTAAGTCTATATTCATTTAAAAAAAGGAAGAAAAAAGTAAAGTAATAATAAGTTTAGTGTCTTAATTGAAAAATACATTTTCACAATCAATTATAATTATGTTATCTGTACGGAAAGGAACAACGAAACAGTGTTGTTATGTAAAAGTGACACACGGTATAAATATCGTAAACAATTATCAGGCAAAATCCATATTAAAAGATATTTGAAATGTGCATTAAGTGTGAAAAAATATGGTCGAAGTGACAACGGTTTTCGATGGATTAATGATGTTACTAAAGATACTTATATTTTACTGCATTTTCATGGAGAAAGTGGTCCAACAGAAGAAAATTCTCACCTGGTATTAAACAATATTTTTTTAATATTAAATACTACTTCGGTATACACATTAAATGATTAAAAATGTCATGTTGATCCTCAAAATAATAAATAATTTATTTTGTTAATTATACTCGTGATTAACTTTCATGCTAATTAAAGTGTTTTTGCAAGTAGTAATAGTTGGTTGGCATAATTAATTAGAATAAAGTTATAATTATTATTTGTTTTCATTAATTTTTTACAGAGTTAAAAAGTATTGATACACCTAACCTCTCAATTAGTCCACTTTGTTCCTTTATAACAAACATCCAAGACACTTCAACCTCCTTTTCAACTGCTCACAACTATGAGCTTCCACAGAATTATAAAAAAGTTATTCACTATCAACGATTTTTTCTAATGATTAATTTTTCTGTAGAGATAACATTGCTTTCCCAGCCATTGTCGATCAAAACAGTACGAAACTTTTGAATTACCGCTATTTCAACATGGTGGCTGCGCTTGCGCTCATCACATGATGAAAAGGTCTATAAATCATTCTCAAAAATAATTTACCCATACCAGATATGTACAAGGTATATTTGCTTACAATAAATAATTCTAAATTCTTCAAATAAAAAAAAACTAAAAAACATTTTATAAATAGTAAGAGGAAAGCTATGAGAGATCGATAATCGATAAGTAAATAATGAAAGAAAAATTTAAATGTATAGCAGTAGATCTTGTTTGTTATATCAGGGTGTTCCATAATGAAATGCGAATATTAAAAGGTGTGAATCTACATAAAAATATTTATTGATAGTTTGCTGTATAAACTATGGTGCAAAAATATTCCGTTGCGAAAATAGGAAATGCTTAAGTTTAAAAAAAAAAAAGCAAATCATATAATTTTTTGGAAACAACTTAAGATATTTTAGTGATATTTAGTACACAGTGACAGTTAATAATGATACATATTTTTCAATACAAAAATAATTTGTAGCTTTAACAGTAGCGGGCATACGGGTATTTACTTCGATATTTAAAAAAAAAAACAGTTCGCCAATGGTTTTTACACAAATAAAAATTATTTTTGAATTCCCGTTAAGTTTTAAATATGAACTTTTTTGAGTTGTTTTCTTGCGATGAGTCGTTTTTCAGCAAAAATATAATAAAATAATGTCCCAAAAAATTATGTAGTTATTGAAAAATGCAATTTTGCAATAAATCTAGTTGTCCTTTTTTAACTAATTGGGCATTCCAACGATCTGTCAAACAATAGCTGCTAGTGGGAAGGGCTCGTATATCTAAGGGGGTTGCGTCTTGTATCTTGGACGCTATTTTTATTCGAAATAGTAGTCGCCACGAATGCCAATTTATGAAAAATCTATAAGCGGTTTTTAAAAAAAATAATATTTTAATTGTATTCGACATAAAATATTTGAATTAATCCATTATTCAAGATTTCACGTATGTAGATAGAATACCTCGTACCTCGTCGCAACCCCTTAAATATACTAACCCTTCAAACAGACAGTTTTTTGTTTGGAATACCCATTGAGATAGAATAAAGAGGAGATGATGCTATGACTGCTAAAGTGTCCGCACCTTGCATTACATTTTTACGTCATGTCAAACTCGAGATAGTGGAGAGATTAAATGCTATTTTTTATAAATAGCCTTATTTAAATGATATAAAATCATTTTCATTCCGTCAGTCTTCAAATATAAAATTATTGACTTCAAATAAATCAAAGTCGACTAAAGTCGCCATTTTTATTACACTTGGTCTGAATACTGCAAGGAATAGTGTTACCGTATTCTTAAAGTGATGAGTGACGATAACTTTACTCTCTTCTATCTCGAAGGGAATATCTAATTGTTTGATTTGCAGACAAGCATTGATAATACATATTTCCATTCGACCGAAATCATGCCTGAGAGGATAGGCAACTTTATATACAGATGTGTATATTAGGTAGCATCACACATAAACCGTTTTATACCTACGGTGGCCATAATTAAAAAAAAAGGTACAATAAAGTTACATTTACATTCAATTACATACGGAATTTAGCGAATTGAAAATTGACACTTCAGATGGTGACCATTTACATTGAAGAACTCTGGTATACAATTTGTTGGTTATGTTGCTTTGTTATTGTAATTAGGAAGATTAGTTTTATAAAAATGAACCGTGAAAATTGCTCCAAACTGAGAATTTTAGGTGCGCTGACTACAGTTGTAGGCGTTCTATATTTAAAAAATAATAAAAAAAAAGAAAGCCTCGCAGGATATGGGTTCAAGATATTTATTTAAAAAGAAAAAAAACAAGGGTTTTATAACAATCTAATTGTTGAAATGAAACTTGGTAACGCTCATTTGTTTTTAAATTTCACAAGAATGAGTAGTACATCTTTCGAATATTTGCTCTATGGAAAATATTTGGTAAAAGTTTCACCACGAGCAGCAATAGAACCTGCCCTCAGATTAATGGTAATGCTGAGATTTCTGGCGACCGGAGATTCATATCCTAGTTTAGGCTATGCTTTTAGAATACATCCATCGACACTTTGTAACATAATATGGGAAACTTGCAATGTCATATGGGAAGTTTTACATCCTATTTATTTAAAACCACTTACAGAGTTTGGTACCATTGATTGTCCATGGCATAGTAGACAATAAAGGTGCTTTGATATTTACTTATATTTTATTAAAAAAAAACTATTAATACAATTAAAAAAATTATGGCCTTGTATTTTGCCTGAATTTTCTTTTAATTTGAAGGAGTCTAATGATTGTTTCATCAATAAATTCTTCTCGTGGTTCTTCTGGAAACTTTCTTAGTTCAGATACCATATATGATGAAAAATCTCTGGTATTTGGGGATGCAGAGGTATCCTGTTCCACTGAATTGAAAATTTTCCCTAATAGCCCCAAAACATCTAGATCATTTTCCGTTTGAGTGTCTGTTTTTTTCTCTTGTTACTCCTTTTAGGAACACTAATAGGAGTAAAGGGCATTTCCCTTGGTATTTCTAAATTACGATTAAGGTTCACTACAGGTGGAGTAGCAGATGCCTCTTGATGGTCATTAATTAAATTAAATTGATTAATTTGACTATCAAATTCTAGGTTGGTCAGACTAGATTGATCTAATGAAGGTTCAGGAACTACTTCTGCCTCCATAATTGACGAAGGTGAATATATATTATTTCTCTCTAAAATAACACTGCTACTAGTTCTGAAAACAAAGTTATGAATTTATTAATACAATATATATATTTTTTAAACTCAAACTTACTCTCTAGGTGTCTTCTGATCAAACATAAATTCAAAAAATGACATTAACGGCCACGGTGTCGTAAATGATGAACCAGCACCACTTCTTTGTAGCAACTGAAGTTTCTGCTTTTCTCGATTAAATTTTTTCCTAAGGGATTTCCATTTTTTTTACAATCCTCAACTAAAATTAAACAATAGCAAGCAAATTATATGAAGGAAAAATTATTTTATGTAATTTTTTTTATAATTTTATACAATCATTTACCTGTGCATTGCATGGATTTTGATATGTAATCACATGCCTCATCAGTCATAACTCTATTCATATGACCTTGCTGCTGCGAATTATAGGTATATGGCCGGGAAATCGAAAATTAATTTTAAAAATAATTCCTCGTCCATTTTTCCTTTTAACAAATTATTTTAACAGATGCCCAAAACACGAGTAAAAACACAGAATGGTAGCAAGTAGCATAAAATACAACAACATAACCTTCAAATTACCAACTTTCCCGCTTGGCGCTTGCACCTGCCAAGCAGCTTACACCAATTTTAATTCGGAGTTAAATTAAGCACAGACTAAATTGTCAATGTAAATGGTTGTGTGGCGCCACTATTTCTCAAGCAGACAAATTTCAAACTTAAGCCGGAGCGTAATTGTATGTAAATGTAGCTTAAGATTTATTTCGAACGCATTCGCCATCCACAATTTTAAGGACAGGCACAATCTTTTCAAAAGTTAGTTTTAGAATGTAAGTGATCTGCGCATGCTCAGATGTCAAAATAAGAGCGGCACTAATAGTGACTGACCTTTAATGCACTTGCAACTTGCAATAACTCTCTAACAGCTCTACGACGAACATCTCTAAATTGCTATTAATTTAAATCTGCATATGGGTGAAACGGATAACGACGTTAACGTATCGTTTGCATATATCACGACCAGTGTTGCCAGATGTAACATAATTATCGAATTGTAACATAATTTTTCTCTAAAAAAGACTAAAATAATTAACCGTAACATAATTATTAAATATAAGGTTAGGAGAAGTCCTTTTCTGAAAATAAGTACAATTGTATGTACTTGTAACAATATTAAGGAGCAGAAGGACATTTTTTAAAAGAAAGTACTGTCCTACTAAAATGAGTACATATGGTCACCGTAGTTATAGGTACCCTTGGTTAACCTCAAAATCACGTGACTAAAGCTCTAAAAAGGTAACCTATTTTATGGATCTTGTGATAAAAAAAGTTGAAACAAACAGTTAGCACAAAATCCTAATGAATATCATTGATAGAAAAAACGCGATCCTTCAATTTCTTCAAAAATTCACTCGCATGAAACGGCTTGATGGATCAGGTTGAAATTCTGTAGGGCTTTCGGGAGAACAATGGCCTGTAAGATGCTCACGTAACACTAGTTATTTTCCCAATATTCTCAATGTGGTACGTGATTTTCTAAAAAACCTCAAAAATACCTGTTTTCCGAAATTCTTCAAAGTGATGCTGGGGATGAAAAAAAAATTTTTTTCCCGTGAAAGAACATGCCAGAAACTTTTAGAGAATAAATCGAAGTTTTCGAAACCTTTCTTCTATTTTCTGAGCGGCCATTGGTTCCCGAGATATTGACGAGAGAAGAGGAAATGACGCATTTTTGTTCATTTTCTGATAACTCAGCAAGGAAGGGTCATCTCGAGGCCATTAAAAAAGGAATTGAAGCTAATTGAACCACCTATCCAATGCATATAGTGGTTAAGTCCGTACACTAAAAATTAATTTTTTTTTAAAAAATTTTCTATCCATGATATTCATCAGGATTTTATGCTAATTGTTGGTTGGAAAACTTTTTTATTGCAAGATCCATAAACTAGACACTTTAAGCTTCAAACTGCTTTTTTTTTTATTCACATACGACCATTTTTACCAAAGATACAGCCACTCGAAAAATCGCAAAAATCGAAAAATCGCAAAAATCGAGATTTTTTTGATCCCTTAATTTTTTCCACTAGTGTACATTCATTTATCATCATTGATTCCACGTCGTCGATGGTTAACCGCTGGTCGGGTAAGTCGAGCGGACACCCATCCAAGACGTGACCGGAGACATTGCCAAAGGTTATGTTAATGACTCTTTGCACTCCAAAATAAATATATCAAACAAAATAATGCATTTAATTGATCTAAAAATGTCAAATACATTGTCTCAAAAATATAAACCGGATGTCACACCTTTCGTATTCGCCTTCAATTTATTTCGCGAGGTATGCACCTTCAACATTTGCATCTTATTCAAATATTACAGGAAATGTTTCCAAAATTAAGTCTCTCAGAATTTTAATTCAAAATTGTTTCAATTTTAGAGGGAATTATTACTGAACTTTTTTTAAAATTATTTAAAGTTATTTTTTTGTCATTTAGTAATTTCCATAAATAAACTTTAAAATATGTAATTTTTTTTATTATTATAAATATTTGTGTGGAAATAAACTTAATTAGTTTTATTTTTTGCAAAAAGTGTGTTTATAGAAAATGTGTACTGTGTAACACATGCAGAAATGGCATTTCGGCACTTGTACAATATACTATTGCTTTATCCGGTTAAAAATTATCTCCTTCGAACAAAAAAACTATCGTAGCTAGCGGTGTCAGGTATTAGTGCATGGGCATTCAAATAAAATATTATGGTGTACAGTATCAACATTAAAGCTCTTGTTGGAAAATCCTTTAGAAGAACATTCTATTGAAAATATCTTAATACATTTCACTTTCTATTTAGTTGAGAATTATTGTTTATGGTCAATAAATTTATATGTGGCAATAGTTTTGGGTTTCATACTTTTATGGTGATATTAAAGGTAATCAAAAACAAGGTCAGATAAGATAGAGAAAAATAATTTTCATAATATGACGAAGTTTTAACGTTCGATTAATTATTAAATCAATTGTTTTTTAACCAAAAGTTATTAAAGAATATTAAATTCAGGATCCAAAGTATTTATACTTGTAATCTTGACCTAGAGACTGCCAATCAATAAGTGGGTCAAATTTATGTCAGAATTAATTAAACTTTTATATGTTTTAACAATATTTAAATTCATAACTTGCAGAACAGAAGTACCTAATATTCTTAATTGTTGTATTTATCTTGAAATAACACATTTTCGTATTTAAACAAACAAATTCATTCAATCCATAATAACTTCGTAGAACGCGAACAAGTTTCCTGTATGAAACTAAACAAACTGCAATCGTCACATGACATTATAAACTAAACAACGTTACACAACCAAACTTGATTGAATAAAAACAAACAGTTGGTGATTATTTTGATTTTGAACGAAAATAGTACATGTATACTACATAAGTAGATAGCAAAATAAAATTAAAAAAATCAACTTTGATGAAAGGTAATTCTGAATACTTACCATTGATAAGGATTAGAAGCAGTTATAGAATACAAATAACAAATTTAGGGTATGGAACGCACAGTTTTATGTTGTTTTTTGTTTTCGAGTGCAGACTCGAGTGGAACCTAGGACAAAACTGTTTTATTGAGAATTTTATTGAAACGCGGCGGACGCTGGCGTTGAGAAACGCGGGGTTTGAGTTTGCCAAAACAAATTTTATTTTGTTTTATACAGGACGTTATTCTTTTTAATGAGCTTCGAGAAGATTAATTTCGTTTGGTGTTTGGTACCGAATTGAAATGTTTGTTTAAAAATAAATTGACATTTGCGTAAGAAATTAATTTAGTTTAGACGTTGAAGCGTCTCAATCAAATTAAAAATGTTAATTGTGTAGAATAAAATTTATCGTAGCGTGCGTTTTTTGTAACGCCTCTAAACAAAATCAATAAAATTTTGAATTACTTTAAATCAATTACTGTTTTAATAAATCAGCAATATAGTTTTATAACTAAAAATATCTCATTCAAGCAGAACATGTCTTTAAACATGAATTTTATCAAATTATAAGTTACCAAATAAAAGAACATTGTTTCACTAAAAAAATATTCGTTAAATATTTTTATTTATGTTACTGAAATATGAGAATCACTTTTTAATTGGACCAGGTCAGGGTTGTAAAAGAAATTCAGGGTGCAAATATTTGGTTACCGATCTACAGGGTGTTAACATTTCATTTTTGTTTCGTTTTGAGTATACCGAATCCTTGTCCCTACTATTTCAGGGGGACAGTATTGCAATTTCTTAAACGGTAACAGATAGAACGTTGTTAAATTAGACAACAGTAGAGCAGTTTTGTGCTCATTAAAATGGTATCAAGAAACCTTTAATATCTACAGGGACATTCAAAATATCGGACAAAAAATGAAAATTCATTTAGCCGGCGAACTCATCGATCGCCTAATTAATTATACCGGTTAAGCATTGTTTCGTTTCTGGCTCTGTCTGCTTTCCGTGTTATCTTTGTATGTACCACTTGTCCTCCTGATTTATCCTGTATCTCGTTTTTGTATTTTTTTATAATAATATTTTTAATTAAATTTTTTTTATTGTGAAATGATCTGAATTGCGCTGCAAAATATGTGGTTATTGTATTACATAACATCTTAAAATCGACATATTCTGACATCGTGCAACATAAAAGGCAGCGTTTTAAATATGTGGTAATCTAGTCTAATCAACAAGTTCAAAAGCGTGTTTTTGGGACATACTATTACGAAAATTATGTTCAATAGCTCATTCGATTCGGAATAACGTCCAGATCAATGTGTGAAGAAACATTTTGCCGTGCATAAAAAATTGCAAAAATTATAAACAATTGAACACCTTAAAAACATGGTGTTTGGTTTTTCGCCTATAGTTTGTAAACTATAAATATTTTTGGATTTTTCAAAAAAGATCCTTAAAGAGGAGGAAATTTGCTATAAATAAGTTCCAACTCCAAGAACTGTACCTCCATTATTTATAATTTTAATTTAACGCTCAAAGTAGCCTTCCACGCGCCATTTTTAGATTGCGCGCACTGCGTCGAAACCGAGTACGTTACATAAAATAATTTTTTTAAGTTAATAAAATTAATAAAATTAAATTCAAAAATTTTAAAAAAATTACGTTGTATTCTAAACACTTAGAATAATTCATTCCCGTTGGAATTTTTCATAAAAATTAATTTTCCAACAAAGTAGGTTATTGTTAATTAACAAAATTTTTAGAATTTCTCTCATCATTACAAATTGATAAAAATATTAAATAATTACCGTACTTTTTTTTTGCTTCGTAGAGCTCTTTTTATATACATATAAAACAAAA